CTATGCTGGCAAACTGCTGGTAAAGCATTTGAACCACATGCACTGAATTTTCGAACCCGGAGCAGCATATTCATCATGGTGTGGGGCTGCATCAGCATCCATGGCTTGGGCGAATTGATAGTGGTTAATGGAAACATGAATCACTAGAAATATATCGATGTTTTGGAGTCAGGCTTGCTACCATCTATTACTAACATGTTTGGTGAAAGGAATTATCCATCTGTTCACCAGGATGACAATGCTCCTTGTCACAGGCCCAGAGCAGTTGATGATTGGTTTGACCAACAGAACATTCGCAGGGTGATGTGGCCTGCCCAGAGTCCGGATACAAACATTATAGAAAATGTGTGGAATGATATGTCAAAACTTTTTACAAATGCCCGTCTAACCAGCAGAGAAACTCTGTTATATTCAGTGTTTCATGCTTGGGCCAGCATAAGCCCTGAACGCATCAGACAATTAAATGAATCTTTGCTTTGTAGACTGGCACCTATTATTAGGTCAAGTGGCTATGCCACTAAGTACTAATTTTGGACTTGAAACTACATATTTTGGTAGAATGTATATTTTGTTCTCATTTTGTGATTTTTTGTGAAATTTGATGTTAATAAAATGATACCAGGAGCATATCATTCCACAGTCATTTATCTCCCCCATAGTATTGGCTCAGTAGGGGTGACACTTCTTTTGTCCAGTGTGTGTAGTTGTAGCATGTTTATTGTGTAGCTAACTGACATGTACCCGATGCTACAATATTGTCATTTTAATCAAGGATGAGAATAAATACTTGCTAGAAAAAATGATGTTCCATTTCTTCTTCTGCCATATTGCTAGTATCGGTGTCTACTTTACCCTTATAATGCTCCTTAATGTGGCTGGGAATACGTAAAGTAAACTGGATTTTATCAATATAATTTATTACGATGAATTCACATAAGAAAAACGCATTTAGATAGGAGAAATTATAATAAAAACATCCTAGAAAAAATAGCATCATAGTGAAGCCAGCTTTCAAAATAATAAAACGGAACATAGAGTTGTGATTATTATCATTTTCGGCAATTAAAAATATAATCTTAGCGAATCTACACGCAGAATATTTACTTTCTCCGTGAAAAGAGTTGAATGCATGTCATTACCTATGTTTGAATTCATTATTAATAATTTTTTTCCCGCGTATTTTTGTATTTGAACGAATGGTGAAAAAAGCAATGGACAGAAACTACTCCTTCCCCCAGTTAACACGTCATGTATATTGTATTAAACAGCTGTTTGGAGCTGACGCTTATACAGACTTGACATTTAATATGGAATATTTTTTTCAAATCATAATTCATCAGTTTTTTTCCTATTTTGCTGACTGATAAATGAAAATAAGGATTAAAATCGTGTTTTAATAACTTTTGATAATCTATCCGATGTCATTGTGACATCAGTTAATTAATTCAATTCGCCAGTGAAGCATACAAAAATACATTGCCTATTTTAAGTCATACAACAACCATTGAAAGCGATATTTTGGGTCTCCATATTTTCCTAATTATTGTCTTTAAAAGAGTTACATGGCCCATAAAGGCCCCCCATGTCAGTGTGTAGTCACAGCAACAGTCGCTGTTACGCATGACCTCATCTTGCTGCTACCAGAGGTTTCAAGCCGCAAGGTATTCCTTATGATAGGTTTTTAGAGTTTAATCCGAAATAAAATTCCAGGCAACGATTAAAACTCGTTAAATTTGGCTCAGTTTTGTTGTAGGACATGCAGGCCGTTGATTCGGCGAATAATGACCCACCGACATATCGTTTATGTGGTTCAATTATGGCGATTTTGATGACCAAGGTAGCTACTCATTCCCTTGGTTCTGTAAGTTATCTGCTATTAAAAGTGCTCTGTGTGAACCGGCAATATCATCGTGCAACCTAAAATTGTTCCTAAGGTGCCCCCTATCAAATGATAGTCAAGTGGTTCCAAGATTATTTCTTTATTTAATCTGGTTCAGGTTTTCATCGATGACTACCATTGGTGTTTTGGCACCAATGTGGTATCCAATCCAAATACTGACACTGTCAATGACCCTAGTCACTTAAGAAGTGGCTCACGCTTCGTCGTAGGCCTCTTCAGGATGTCTGTAAACTCTGTTTTGACCAGTTTAGCGGTACAGGTGAAGTCTGACCCCAATAAAGAAAGCAACGCGGTTTCAGTGTTCTACCCAAAAACGGTCATGGTCCCCAATTCATTAGAGAAACAGACTACACTGCTTTGCTGTTTACGGTGGCTTCCTCAGAGGTCATCTGGTATCTTAACCTGCTGAAACCAGTTTGTTGTTCGGTAAGATCTTTGAAAAACGCGTTTTGGTGACAATTTGCCCCTCATTCAAAACGGACTTGGTGATTTTGGTTTAATTGCAGCAGCATATCCTGAAAGACAGTGAGTCCTGTGCCCTGGTGGTAAGACGTCGATGCATTGGGCGTGGTCTCTGTGTAGGTACATCAGTCTGGGCATTACTCTATAAAACTGTGTAGTCCATTCTGTTTGGCACAAAAATCTGTCTGGCAAGGTCTGTGCTTTTCGCGCCATTCTGGCACAGATTAACAATTTTGTAAAACACTGCTTAACTCATTTTACGCACATTAAAACTGACCGCTTGCATGCAAAATTTCAAATTCTTTTATGCAGTAGTTGCCGACATATGGATACTTTTTTGACAGAACCATGCTTCGCCAAAGCCAAGCTTTGACCAGCCCAAAGGAGCACTGCCCAATTAAATCACTGCATATTACACTTGTAAGGCAACAGTGCAACAGACTTGTTAGTCAGTTAAAGTGCAACGGCACATCTGACTTCACACTTCTCAATTTTTTGAAAAAAGAACGCATTTTTACCTAGGTATACCTTTAAAACTGAAATATTCCATATTAAATGTCAAGTCTGTATTATTCAAGTGAACACGTTGCTTCATTTTAGCCTGCAGAAATCGTGTGCGTCTTTCTTTTGATGGCACGACATCAAAGCTTTAGGCNATAGACATTGCATGTGAACGAAGCCTTATTTTTTACGCGGCAATATCGACGTTGCAGTTGTCTGAACCGAAGTATAATACGTTAGTTACTTTAATCACCCTCTTATGTTGTACAATTCAACTTATAGTTGCAAGAACAAATAATTATTATCATTATTTAAATGATCATTACTATCATTAGTATTTTGATCAGGAAAGATCTGACAGACATGAATTATGTAAAAACAAGCTACGGAATGAATGATCCAATAATATTTTGTGAAATAATAAGGACTTTTCAAATATTCTTTGCCTTAATTAGTAACATGTTTGATGCATTTGAAATAAATTTAGTATTACTCATAAAACAGCACCTTTATGTTATTGGAAAATTGTGTTAATCACGTACTCTTTATCACGAATATATTCTGGATCTTCAGCATTTGTTGGGTGTTTGTGGTCTATATTTGGTCCATGGGCTCTATGACTGTTACACAGGACCAGAAGCATGGCGAAAATTGCCGCGGTCACAGCTAAACTTTTGTCGATCATTTCTGTATACGTACCAAGATCTCGAGTATGAGGAAAAAAGAATAAAACGGGGTTGTAGCTTTAGTTTTATGGTGATAAATGAAATTCAACTTTAACACGATACTATATTGTTAAGAAAGTCTTACGTGGTAGGTTCATTGGTTTTACTTGCGACATTTTGCAAGTAAATATAAAGATTCTAGAGACGTAAAAATCCATTTCTCGAATTTTGAAGATTCAGCACTCAATCTATACACTTCAGATGTTTTAATCGATCCCCTCCATTTAAAAAGTATAAAAACAAACTATTGTCTATTTGTCATGGACGCATGTGGTTTTTATATCAGGATCCAGTCGGGTATTGGAATATGGTCAAAATCCGTTACAAATAAATATAAATTTCTAAATAAGTAAGCCATTTGTCTTGTAGCTTTTTACATGCTAAATGTTTTTTATCCTTACACAAATGATCATTCTTTATCATACTGAATGTGCAGTAAGCTATCGAAGAATATTGTTACGTACCTTTCGACTATACAATGCACACCTGTGCGTTGATCTGTTAGAACTGTGTAATTACAACTTAATACACAGGGCGTGAAAACTGAAGCCGGTCATAAAAAGCAGCGTCTAATCAAGAAGGACCGATCTGCTGGTTAGGTGACGTGTCATCAAAGAGGCTTTTCTTTACTACTTTGGTGCAAAAATATCAAAACAAAGCATAATACTAATATGACGTAAAAACCGAATGGCATTCCAACGAATTCATATCTCAAAAATACTATTTTAACAATCGTTTCTAACCTATTTCTTTTCCAAGCACAGCATTTTCTAGACTTAACTTGTAAATGCATAATTGTTGTCAAACGAGGATGGTCATTTTTTTCTTAAAACAATTTCCAAATTGTATTAAATACTCTTGGAATTGATATGTAGACTGGCGAATTTCACTCGTAACTGTTTACATAGCGCAATTTTCTCACCCGTTTTGGATAGGGTATGCCTTGGTGATTTTTTGCTATAACGCACATTGGACGTTTCTCACAGACAAAATGTTGAATTTAAGAAGATGTACAATGTATCACAATATGATTTTTTTCTGTTCTCATCCATATTTATTCATTAGAAATAAATGCTCAATACAATGATCTTCAACTTTTATCTGGTGGTGGTGGTCTACGTCGAGCGGATACATATTCAGGGTAAGTTAAATATCCATCGTTATCTACATCGTCTGCTTCTAAAACTTGATCTATAGATTCTGCAGATTAAGAAAAAAACAATATCATTATTCTTGAAATAAGGTGCAAGAAACAGTCAGCAGATCTTGTAAGTAAACGTTTGTTTTGTATATTGTCGATTTAGATGGTTTTTGGAGTGCTATTTTTATATTTGAATTCCGCGTGTTTAAACATTAAAGATTGGACATGATATTACCTGCAGTCTCTTGGATCTTTTTTTCCACTTCTTTCTTTGTCATTTGCTTAAATTGAAATGACATCAGCTCCAAAAGAGATGCAAGAATTTCCAGACCGTCAAGTTTCAAGTTCTTATCGGTATCGTGTTGACTATAAGAAAATAATACTTCTGGCTAATGTTAACGTGACTTTGAGTGTTTTTCAACTCGTTAAAACAGACACAGATCGATCGTATTCTAAGGTAATATGAACGATGGTATGATAATCTGACAAGCTGCGGTCTTGAATGGCAAATTAAGTTGTTGTTACTGTTTTTACTGTTTTGATCTGTATATATGTTTTATTTTTATTTTTGATAGTCTTAACACAATCCTTTATATTTTTTACTTATTTAATGGATGTTTAATTAAGAACGTGTACTTATACTAACCTCATTAGGGCCATGGGGAAGACAAACTGTATATTGAAATGTTTTTAATCTCAACAAACAAACGTGTATATACACTCAAGAGACTTCCGTGACCACATGATGCTGAAAGACTCTTTATCAAGGATGAAAATAGATACTCACTAGAAAAAATGAAATTCCATTTCTTCCTCTGTCATGTTGTTGGTGTCAATGTCCACCACGCCCTCGTAGTGTTCCTTTATGTGTCTGGAAACAAAGGGAAATTTCACGAAATTTATATGAAATTTCATCGTTTTTCAAAGAAAAAAGACAGAGTTTGTTTTAAATGGTCAAAATGAATCAAAATAGACATCAGAAAGGGAGATATAACCAAGATGAAACCAACTGTTCATATAAAATTACGGAAAACAGCGCTGTCTCCAGAACATTTTTGAAAATGGTTTATCTATATTTTTATTGTTAATTAACTCTCTGGATGTGGATTCTATGTGTCATTATGCCTTTATGCCTGAAAATAGTTCAGGGATATATCTACTGTTTATATTTTTCAATTTATTGATTTATTATTTACTTATTGCAAATTATTAATTTTCTATAGACGTAATTACCTACCTACTTATACATACATGTATTTTCGTGTACATAAGCATTCATTTATTTTTATATTCATTTATACATTTTTGGTTTATTTATTTATTCATGTACTTGAATAAATAATTTTAAAGACGACAATAAACATCAACTGGCGCCCTGATGTTAGCCCAATATAGTATACTACAATGAGCTTTTGTATTTGAAATAAATTAGAAAAAAATTTCCATCATTTACGTAGCACGCCACCAGTAGATGTGCGCATTATTTTTTTTATGCTACGATATTGCTGTTTTACTAGGCATTGGGGATGTGTCACAGTCATCTGAGAATAATTATTATCAGAACTCTCCTGGTCCATTTGAATAACACCAAAACTAGCTTTGGTCCCGATATCAAAAGCTGCAATAATAGTTTATCTAGGAATGATTGTTTTCCGAGTAACCTTATTGTTCTCGCTACAAACCCACGCAATATAACTCATAGTGAAACAGTGTAAGCATAAGGTGGAAAATTAACATGGAAATCACGTACTCTACATCACGCCTATATTCAGGATCTCTCCATTCTTCAGCATTTGTTGCGTGTTTATGGTCTACATTTGGTCCATGGCCCTCATGACTGTTACACAGGGCCAGAAACAAGGCGAAAACTGCCGCGGTCACAGCTAATTTTTTAACTTTCATCGTGGGCACCGAGAAATCCTGGAGAAAAAAATCGTGGGTAGTAGTTTTTATTGCTGAAACTTTACTTTAATATAATGTTGTTTTAAGTTACGGAACCATCTTGGCTATCTCTGTTAAGTTACATATGGATGAGCTGTCACTACACGTATCAGGACTCGTTCAGGTATTATATCGCCTGCTGTTGAGTTTCGCTCAAGTGAAATCCATTTGCTCGTTTAATACGATAATAGCGTTACTTGATTTTTGTTATTGCTCTACTTCAGAAATTCCAAATCAGTACAAAAAGACTCTATCTCCAAAATGAAAAATATTGTAATAGATCAGGAGTATAGTTACCTACCTCTAAACACCATATAGAGCACCTGTGTACTGATCAGTTGGTTCCACGTGTAACACGTGTAACTAATACACATATTATAAAATGGGACTTACAGATCTGAATCCATGTCAAATAAAAAGCAACGACTATTCAGGATAATCTGATCTGCTGGCTAGGCGGAGTGTCATCAAAGAGAACGTTCGAGGAATAATGGCGCGAATATATATGAAAACAAAACAAAGGAAGAATTGTGATTCCTTTTACTGTAAATCGAACATAATTTAATATCTGTATTTTTACTTTTCTTAGAAATGATTTTCTTTTATTTTAACCAAGGAATTATAACTCTTTGTTTTAACGGAAGACTTTAGTTCTGTTTTAAAACTTCTCTTCGGTTAAAACTTAAAGGGTTGTGTTTTGGCTCTTATACTGATATGCGTTGAATCTATTTTAAAATTGTATAAGATTATTTCAGTCAAAACGAATCCAGGTTTCTTTTTCGTCTGGTTCAACCTCATGCTCGATGCTACAGTTGGGTAAATATAACGGTGAGTGCGTTAACAAAACGATGAGCTCACTTGACACAATGCCAAGCTTCGCATTGAGGGTGTCGTGGACTTGCATTACAATGACCCAGCTGGCGCAAGTGGATCTCTCTTGCGTTTTACTTACACAGGAAATTTACATACACACTAGATTTGTCGGTGAACAGCAAAATATTTAGATCTTGAGTAAAATCTTAAAGAGACAAAAGATTTAAAGTGCATGGTTATGATTGCATTCACAAGGTTACAAGTTACCAGTGGTCATAAAACCCGGCCACTTCTTAGATTTTTTTCTAGTTGCTATTTTTTTGACGGGAAAAGTTTTTTCTGTTGTATGTTTGAAGATCGACAATATATAAAGGTAAGGAAGAACTCTTTCGCTTTTTCGCCTTGAGTTTTAAAACAAGATATATGAATCTGTTTTGAGATTAGTTTATTATAACATCTTTTGTATTTTAATAATTAGCATTTGTTTCTTCAACTAGCTTTACGCCGTGCTGCTAGATATTCAGCGTAAGACAGATAACCGTCATTATCAGCATCATCGTCCGTAAATATTTTGTCCACGATATCTGAAAAAGAATCACAATAAAATGATGCGTTACATTTTAGAATGATAAATCTTCCAATTATGGAAAAGAAAATGAAAAGGTGAAATCTTCCATTATCACATAATATAAAATATAAAATACATATTCAATATAAAATAGATACACAAATTGATGAAACAACGCAAATGAAAAATAATTGATCACAGAGCGCATAGATTTAACAAAATTTAATTTTTATTAAATTGATATTTAAATATATATTCAAAATGTTTTACCTGTCATCATCTTAAGATTTTCTTCTACTTCTTGTTTCTGTTTTTCTTGCTGCTCTATCGTGAGCGGAACTTCGTCCTCTTTTTTGTCACCGTGATGGTGATGCCTGTTCGGCTCTGTAATGGCCGCCAGAATCTCAAGTCCGTCAAGCATGAAATTGTCATCCGTGTCATGTTGCCTGGAAGTAGGAATATCTTTATATGTTTAATGCTGTGGGGGGCAAGTTCCAGAGGGTCTTTACCTCAGCAATGAGCTCCGATCTGATTTCAAGTAGACACATGAAATAATGATAAGAAAAGGAAAAATAACGGATGTAGAAATAAAGAAAGAAACTGCCTATATTACTGGTTTCCCTGATCAATCTTGTATTTCTTTTCTGTAGATTAACGGAATTTTGGATTAACTTGAGTTTAATGGAAAAAATACTTTTACAATACTTTTTAATAGATAATGTAAAATTAGAAAAAACTGATAGGTTTGAATTTAATGAGAATAATTTCATCAAGAAATAAGGGAACCCGCTGCGCATGACTTCATCGCCAAACCTTTACATGAAGACTTACTGAAAATAGTGGAATTCTAATTCTTCGGGTGACATGGCGCTTGTGTTGAACTCCACTTTACCCTCGTAGTGTTCCTGGATGTGACTGGTAATAAAAGTACTTGATTAAAGTCCACAATTTCATAAAGATTATCGGTTACACAATACATGTATACACCATACGAACCACAAGAATGGCCTTAAGAAAAGACTGGTGATGCATCAAATGTCAAACGTTGTAATTTTTCTTGAAAAATATTCAAGTATCCATTATTTCCACTGGTTAAATGTCACTTACTCAACATCATGTACATAGTTAGGGTCGTGCCACTGGTCTGCCACGTTCCCCGTCCCCGTGTCCTCGCCGTGGCTCCGAGCCAGTAGCAAAACCAGTACCGTCGTAACCAGCGCGACTCTCTCCACTCTCATTTTTTTTTCTACAATGTAAATTAATCCACGTATAACACTTCTACTCCGTGTTAATACAATTATCTATTCACTTAAACTTAAAATGTGCTCTTATGACTCAAATTGCCAAATATTCGCAGTCACCCCCTAGTAAATCTAACATCTCCTCCAATTATTTACGAACTACAACAATTATGCCTCAGAGAACCTGCCGTTCTGACTGCTTGGTATTACTTAACCTGTAGCTGTTTTGTAACGATTGGTTATCAATATAGTTATTTATCGCGGAAATGGCATATACTTTATTTCTCAGCTCCCATCACATAGAACGAAACATACAGATAGATAGGCCTACTATTGACTTCTCCATATATACAACGACACGTAGACCTATACCAGGATAATTGTTTATCAGGATATGTAATCACCCGCATCATTGAAATTATTAGCTGAAATATAGGCTCTAATGTACAGGCTTTTTGTACAGATATGCACACAGGCTTATACAAGGTGAAATGTATGTCTATAATAAAGCTTTGGATATCTGATATCCTCACCTTCAATCGTAATAAAGAGGACCTGTGCTTTGCCCTTGCAGCTTGAACAGTTAACTCAGCACGCTATCGGAAATTGGGTCACATATCCAATATTAATCCATCGATTATCAGCTGGTTAAACCATGGCTCCATTTATCTTCTGTGTTAACAAACACCTGCCGGATTCCCGCACCTGTTATTGCGGTAGTTGAGATCATAAAACAATTAATACATGTACATTGCGAAAATGGCAATTTGAGTTAATTTGGCCGAGGGTTTATTTACTTTTTCTTGATAATCAAAATATGTTGAATGAATAAAACGCGCTTTCTGCGTCATTATAGCATTGAAAATCCTTATTTCCATCATAACCACACGCCTTTTCTTTTCTTATTTTATTCTGAAAGGCACAGCAGGCTTTTTACCTTTCTTGTTAAAATTGAAATTTAAAATTGATTTCAGGCACACGGGAGAAAGTATAAGTTGGGATGTACATGATATTGGTGCAGGAGAATTAACTTGATAATTTGTTTCATTATGAGAAGTTAAATGCACAAACACATTAAAAGTCGCATATGATTTTTATTTTCATTTCCGGCGGAATTCTCCTTTTCGCGTAGGCAGACGATATGTTAAAGAATGAAATACTATATTTTAGAAATCAACACGCTTATTTTTTCTAGGGCGGACCAACAAATCAGTAGTCCCTAATCCGTCCTTCCACTAAAAGAATCGTGCACGAAATAACTGTCCCAGAAATTTCCCGCTCCATTTATGCTAATTCTGCCCGCCACTGAAGCGTGTATACGTGTGCTGATCTCTCTCTGAAGATTTGGATAATGTATTGATTTTTGTTTCGCAGACTCTGTACACAGTCCTGACGATGCTACTGTACAATGATCAGCATTTTTAAACGACTCATTTACTACAGTGTTGTTTCTTCATGTAGTCGCCCACTATCTGATTGCTGTGCTGGGTTTCCTGAAGCAAAACCTGAAATGACCAACAGACCCGAGTCCATCGTCTTGGAGGGTGGCGAAGACGGCAATATGTCTGACGACGAGCAAAAGGAAGAAGATGAAGCGGGAGAAACCCCCGCAGAGGAATCGACTCGAACATTTCTCTACCCAGACGAACTGTCAGATCTGACACTACATGTTGAAGGCAGACGACTTTTCGTTCACAAGGCAATACTGGCTTCCGTCTCTCCCGTATGGAAGAGAATGTTCACGTCGGAATTCAGAGAAAAACATTCCAGGGAAATCAGCCTTCCTGATAAAAAATTCAACCACATCGTGGTCCTTCTCCAGTGGATTTACCGTTCTATGATAGAAACCATAACGGGTAGGTCCTTACTATAGATGTTGACTAATACATAATTGGCTTGACTGTCTGAGAAAACTACCAGTAGCTTATTTTTACAGTAATAATATCTTTGAATAAAATATACCAATGCAAAATTCCCTTTGTAGAATGGAGTAGTTTAACCATAAGTCTACTGTTCTGTTCAATTTATATGTCGATGCTGTATCCCAAAAACAAAACAAACAGCAATACAGAGGAGACAGTTCATTGGAACGTGTTTGCAAGCGAAATTGTACACCAGAGTCGCTGTAAAAGGCATGAAATTATACGTGCGCTTATATATGAGCTATTTTTTGGGCACCAAAACAACATAAGCGTTATCGATTTTCATCAGGAGGAAATGAATCATCGCAGTCTGTACATTGTTAAGCAGACTAGAAAACATTTTTCATTTGTCCTGTCTTGTTCTAGTACATCGGCTCATGTCATATCATGTACAATCCATAACGTAATAATGACATTTGTAACTCCCCATTAAATCAATGTTGACCTTCATTGCAGACGAAAATGTATTCTACGTCCTTCCACTGGCTGAAGAATACCAAATATTAAAACTGAAGTTGGACTGCGAGCAGGTTTTGTTGTCTCACGTCCAGCCCAAGACGACCACCCCGCAGCCCATGGAGCAGGTGATGGAGTACATGTTGTTGGCCCAGGAGTACCACCTAGCAGAGCTATTAGACAGGACCGCGGAGAGCACGGCCGGCCTCACCAATGAGGAGCTAACCAAGAGGCGGGAATACCCACGCCTCTCCAGCGAAACCAAGGGGCGCATAGCCACCAGCCGCGTTATACTTCTCGAGCACAAAACTAGGGGTCAGGAGAAAGAAATCAACATAGCAAAAAGGCAGTGTAGGGAGCTGGAAGAGAAATGCAAGATAACGGAACAGGAGATCGATCGGCATATTAGGGAGAAAAAGGTGATTCAGAAATACCTGCATGAGATCAAGGACGCCTGGGATAACCGCGGGGAGGAGGTCCGCTGTGGAAAGGACGAGGTACACACTTATTGTAGCAGAAACTACGAGTGCAAGGACTGTAATCTCAAAGTGAAAGCGTTTGTGTCCTCAAAGACCGACCAACTTTTACACCGCAGCCTTAAAGAGCTGGGGAGAAATACCATTAAATGGCCGACAGCAGGGTCTATTCTCTGAAGATATCTTATTATCAGTGAGCACCCCCTTCCCCCAATGACATTACCCAAACCCGGATTGCATAAATACTGAAGTCGAGAGTTGGTCTTTAACTTAAATCCTGATTTGAACATGCACTTGGTGTCCTGGAAAAATCTTCTTGAGATTTGATTCAAATTCCTTCTTTATCGATTGGATGAATCAAAACTTTCATTATGTGGAGCAATTTTCTTTGGTGAACCCGTACCACTACGGAAATGGTCTGTCGGAAACCCTTTTCAATAATTATGGAACATTCTAAGGAGACGAGCCAATAACGTACACGTCCCTTTCTTTATCAAAGTATGTCCGTTAACGATTTCTTACATGGTTTAAAAAAGAAACAATGAGACGACAAAATGCGCATGATTTATTATTTCTTTAATAAAATTACGACGACTTTGAATACAAAAATCTTTCATCTTTAGCTCATGTGCTTTTATATTGATTTCTAAGAAATCGTGATGCAGTACTTACTGAGCAATGTGCTCACTTTAACGACTGGCCTTAGTAAATCAAGAGATATATTTAAGATAAATATCTTCTGACGATTTAACAACAAAACACTGACATTTGTCGTTCTATGACGAATCACCTTTATCGCCAGAATCTTGGACGAGAAATTATAATAAATTGTATTACTTACAACAATATTGCACAATTACTTTTATGTCAGCGTGTAATAAGCTTCAATGTTATGAGGAAATATAATAATTGCAAAATAATATTAGCTTTCTCTCGTGTCTTCTTGCTCGATATATTTATATGAAATACACGTAGACTTCCTCTTATAGAAGTTCTGAGGAAAAGACAGCGTATTTGATCTTTCTATCAGACTACAAACTAGCGTTATTTTGCCTACATGGAGTCCAACTAACACTAAGCTATGGTATCTTAACTATCTTAAACAGTTAAGTAATATTCATTCTAGCGGACGACGGACACACTAAGTAAACACCCAATGTCGGGGCGACGTGGATACAGTGATCTGAATTAAATGACATTTCGTAGTAGCATCACAGGGACCACGTGGTCCCGTCGTTGTGCTTTCTGGGTAAATTCTGCTGCAGCCGTTACATTACATGTAGATAAAACGTGAGCACTCCAGTGAGGTACAGATATATTAAGATATATAGTTTTTTTATCATTGGGAATGCGGCTGCAGAACAAAGAACCACATTCACCGGCGCTAGAATTTTCCCAGTACGATTTCTAGTGCCTAAGGCTCATGTAAGCATGCAAATTTTTCACCAATGGCTAGAATTGGATTTGATTTTGAATAAAAAAGTTATACATTTTTCAAATCGTAGACATTCAGCTGGTTATATGCACACAATGTAGCACAAGCACTACTACAACAAGAAAGGCAATGTTTTTCAACTCAGAAAGTTTAAGCATTCTTGATCTCTTTTGGCCAATATTTTCTATTGGAAAGCAAAAATTGGGCATTTTTGATAAGTCAGAAATAATGTCAATTCTTGAAGTTGTCTTTTCAAACTTAATATGAGGTGTAGACTAATGCATGTTTCTAGCATGTCATATCTTGCTTTTTAAGAAAAAAATTGCAACACTTGTATATTAAAAGTTGGTTTATATAATCAAATGGCCAGCTTCCAAGCACAATATGATTCAAGTCTGTTATAATTCTATAAGTTTTGATAAGCATCATTTTTCATCCTTCTCCTTTGCTATAGTCCACAATGGATCAAGTCTGTTCAGGGGGTCATTGGGATCTTTGACATGGTCCCTGATGTGGGATGTCTTATCACTGAAACTCGATTTTGTAATTTTCCTGTCCTTACCCTCTGCGTCTAGAGAAAAAGTACTTGGGTTCTGTATCTCAGCCAGAGAGGGTGGTAACTGGGAGGCATCGCCCCCATGACTGGGGTGTTTTAACTGATGCTGGGGAGAGGCTGGCAGGCTGGCGCTAGCACTGCGGATTGAAGAGCTTGAGCTTGATCGGCTTCTGGAATATTGTCCAACCAGTGGATGTAAAAGTTGTTCTGGCAGCATTTGGCCTTGACCTTGACCTTCTGCTATTTGACCTTGGCTTCCAGGGTGACCCATTACCCCCTGTGCAGACCCTACACTGTAAAGTGATGCACTGAGATTAGCCGGTAAATTCTGGTTGTCTCCTTGAATAATGTCTTTTTGACTTGTGTCTGCGCCACTATAAGAGAGCACCATTCCATGGATATTAGAATCTGAAGCTGCTAAGCCCACTTGTGTAGGTGGGGCATCCAGCACAGGAGGTTGTGGTGGGAGAGAGGAGGATCTCGAAGAATTACTGGAGTCACTTCCAATTACATTGTACTTTTTGAAAGTCATCTTGGATATGTTGGACTCTATGGTGCTGAGGCTGGTGGTGCCCAGGATGAAGTCTTCTGATGGCTTCCTCTGGTGGGACTGGCCGGGGGTAGGCAGCTTGTCTCCAAATGAGGCCTTGTTGGCCAGAATACCACCTGGAAATAACAAACATATATGACAATCAATACTATATATGTATACATGAAAAATCTAAATGAGGGATAATATATCATTGCTGATGGTGATACTATTTCATGAGGAAATGAGAAGTTTTTTATTCTGAAGAAACAGACAAAACAAAAGATTGTCTGTAATCCAAATTAATTGTAGTATGAAAAGGCAATTAAAATGGTTACAGGCTGATAAATTGAGGAAGAAAAAGATCATCAAAGTAAACATAATAAGCAAAACCTAATGAGCAGCCAACAGAGAATGAAAACAATCAAGAAGCTTGTGTGGATGGGACGGGTGGGTTGAGGGGTAAGTGGGGGGATTAAATTTTAGAACAACAGTTTTCAACAATACGCATTGCTCTGACAAGCCTCTAAATGTGTGTTAATTCCAAAAGTTGAGTATAATCAAGTAGCATAGCCACTATTATTTCACCTTGAATTTAGGACCACAGTCAAAAGCTGAAATTTTAACTTCCTCATTCCATTAATCAGTTAACTTTTAAATAATAAATATAAATAACTGTCTGAATATATTTATGGCATATCAATTTACAGGATATGATCCTTGTTATTGTTGGTTGCATTCTGCTGTCTTTTTATGAAATATGTCCAAAGAAGTAGTCTTCTTTGTCAAATTTTACCTTTACAACCCTTATTCAAACTAGAGGTTCTAAAGGAGTGCCTTGTACACTAGCAGTTAAAATTTTACATATCTTGGAAGAACTATCCATCTCAACACCATCAAGCTAATAACAAGTAAAATTTTTGTCACTTGTATTTTGAGAATATCGCTTCATATAACCACTATTAACTTTACATCAAGCCATTCCACACGTAGCAAAAATGACTGCATAGCCTTGCAACTTGAAGCAGAACAAAAGCAAGCTGCTGTAAAAATTGCAACCATATATGTCAAAATTACTGTCTTTACAAATTTTAGGTTATTTGATGTTCATTACATACTTGGCTTTTCAACAGATATTAAATTTTAATATGGATTAATTTTAATGTAGGACAAAGCTGTCCATACAACCAATCATTTCTTTGCCATATTATTCACAGCTTTAATCTATGTCAGATAGGGGGAAAAGGGTGAAAAATGGGTCTAAGCCCAATGCTTGGTATATATCTTACCAAACATCCTGGGTGGGGATTGCCCAACTAAAAGAAAGGATTATAACAAAGATTATAACAGAAAGCATAACAGATAAGCATCCTTAGGCTTATAACCATTAAAAAATATGAAATATGAAGTCTTTGAGCACAAGCATTCAAAACCGAAAAAAAATGAGCAGTATTTGTATTGGGAATCAAAAATTAAAACCCATTATCATTTTTATCTCATATGTGACGTAGTACTTCCTTGACTGTCAAGGCAACATTTTCTTCAGTACTTTTGTACCAATAAAATTAATTATTAATTCAAAATTGCACTGAAAAAAAAAGAGCAAAGTATGAACACTAAAATAAAATTGGCAGTCCTTTGCACAAAGCATCTTAAAAACTAGCCCCTAAGCAAGGGAAACCACCCATTCTCATAATATCCTTCACCTGCACAAGAATCAAATTGAAAATCAAGAGTTTCTGGGGGGGATTACAAATATGGGTCAACAGTAACCATTGCTCCTATAAGCAAGCTTTCTCTGCAGCAACTTTATGTTTGAAAAGATTCTTTAGCCTGCTCTGCGTAATACACAATGAAAAGTTCTTCAAACACAACCAGCGAAAATAAAAAAATAAAAAATAAAAAACACTCACTAGTAGCTATCACTGAGTACGTCCATAAGCTTATCATAAGGACTATCTTCACATTTTGAGTTTGAAGAACTTTTTGTATAATTTCATGTCATTTACATGTCATACCCATGGTACAGAATTCATTCAATCAAATCACACAAATCATTGGAAGGGCTTCTATGCTGGGAAGACTAAGGTAAAAAGCTTCCACTATGAGCATCTGCATTTAAATAGTCTAAAACACAGAACAACATTATATAAATGGCACACAAATGAAATAAGGATATGATTGCTGATTTAAGTGTAGCTATAAACTTACGTTTCATCAAGGTGTCCTCAGCGTGGTATAAGATAGCCTCGTAGCAGTACTTGAGTTGTTCTTTGGTTTGAACCATCATCTTTCTCTTGGCTCTCATCTTCAGTATGGTGGAGAGGACATCTATGATACCATTGCCTCTCTGGATCTCCTGAACACCTGAGTACACTGTACAGAACACTCCTGTCCTGCCTACACCACCACTGGAATTATAACGCATATAGTCTAAGTATATAATACATGAATATAGCAAGTATTGCACATAGACGTATTACCCGTCTTTTCGTGTAACTCATTTTCTTTTACACTGCTGCACATTTCTTTCAAGACATAAAGATTTTCATCAAGACTGATAAATATCAATTTACAAATTTTGACCTATAAACCTATATTAAGCTCTTGGGTTTCAATTTCTACCATTATCAACGGAATTTACCAGTCTAAATCTCTTTTATGGCAGTGGCTCAAATCTGTATAGATTGTAATTTTGTCAATCTGTTTTGGACATAATACACCTTAGTGATTACAGAAATTACAAATATGAAGTTTTTTTCTAGGTTAAATCTAACTCTTACTGAAAATGATATTTTCCATTTGATTAGCTAAAAAAACTCTTAGAGTGGACCTAGAAACTTAGGTATCAAGTGTATTCCATGTACTCACTCGCAGTGGACCACTATGGGTTTGGAGGCATTCCTTTGACATTTGTAAAAGCTATGGACTTCATTTATGAACAAAATGAGGAGACTGGGACTCTCTGGTACTCCACTGGAACAAAGTAAGAAGAAAGTGAAACCATGAAAATATAAAAATAAAAACAAACTGAAAGCTTATATATATATATGAAACTTTTCATTTCATAAGAAATATAATCTTCCCCAGCACTTAAAAGTTTTAGATGAAAAAACATTAATGAATAAATGTGAAATTCAAAACCTTTTTGTCCCTATATCATGTACACTAATGCTTTCGACTTTCATTTCAAAACTTCTTAAAAAGGAAAAATCCTACAGAAGTTTTCTTCTCACCTTGGTGGCCAAGATAGGAACTGCATGTGTATAACAGTCCTAGAAATTTTAGTTTCTTTGTGGCTCAGAGTGATGAACCTCTCAGTCCAGGCTTGGTTCTCTTTCTTGGTTTGTAGAGTCAGAGTAAAAGGACCATATGTCAGACTCTGACCCTTGTCATCTGGCCAGTAAGCTATCATTTTATTCTAGAAAAAAATAAAACATTTTAGTAATTTTGTGGATATCTGGTAGAAACTAGTTCCGTCACAAAAAATTGTCAATTTTCCTTAAAACTGCTTCTAACACTGTAAATGTCATATTGATACTTTTTCTGAACAATTCTGACCAAACCAGAAACTCTCCTAAACATTATCATTCTAAACATTATCATTCTAACCTGACAAAAATCTAAACAAGAAACTCTCAAAAACATTCAAACCTCACAAAAAATTTAAAATGTCTTTTTAAATATTATCCCACCGGGCATAAAATTTACACACAAGTTAGCACAAGTCTTTGAAACTCTTCACACCAGACAGAGCCAAAACTATACCTTCCCCAACTCCATGTCTCCTACCAGAGCCACCACCACCTCAGTGTGCTGTTCATACACCATGGTCCAGAAGTCGGTCACTGTGGAGGGCAGTGGGGATTGAGTGGCTATAATCCCAGGACAGTCAGGGCTGCAGGCATCCAGGTAGCTGCAATTGATATAGTCATCCTTGGTGGAAGTTAAGAGCACTCTGCTCTGGTCAACTGAAGAAAAGGGAGGTAGCTATAGATATGTATTTAATTTTTCTAAAAACTTCTATATTATATCTTTCCTTATCTAGGAACAAGTAGTCAATTGAATTTAAGGTATTAATTATTAATATTTGTTGTTGTTATTACTGTCACATATTATTTTTGCCTTTTTACAATAAGTCATGGAAAACAGAACCTACATGGCATGACATCTGGGAACCTGTTCTTCATTGGATAGCACCTTGCAATAGCCATGGACTGCTGTTTCCTGGAGCTTTTCTCTTGTTCCTCTAACAGATCCTGAACACACAACAAGCAGCATAAAAGTACTAAATAGTGATTAGAAAATATCGAGTCAGATGTAAAATATGAAAAAACTTAGAGATGAAAATATCAAATCAATCTTTGTATCTTTCTTACATAAGAACTTCAATAAAACATTCTGCAAATTGCAGCAATGGTAAAAACAAATAGGTAAAACAACTCACCTTCCACTCCTTATCAAGGAGAGTAGGTCCGCTCAGTGTCTGCTTTGACAAACCTTCCACCACTTTTCCAAATCTCTCGACCTCTGAAACAAACCTCTGCAAAATGTCTGTGTCACTGTAAGGGTCTTTGTGTGCCTGCTGCAGTTGCTGCTGTTGTTGTTGCTGTAATTCTTCTTTCTGCTGAGCATCTGCAGCATCTTTTTGATTCTGTATCTCTTCCTGGGTCATCACTTTTGGCACCAGGACTGCAGCAGGGGGCACACCTGCATCTGATTGGGTGTCAGAAAGTAGGTCATCAGTGGAGGCTGTAGAGGCAGAGGACAGTTGTCTGTGAAGTACTGCTGGTGCTAAAGGTTGAATTGAAACTGGTTGTAGAGGTTGAACTGGAACAGGTTGTAGAGGTGGTGGTCCTGGGAGTCCTGGACCTTGTTCAGGTTGGGTCTGCTGCTGATAAGGTGTCTGTGCACCAGGTTGTGTGGGACCCGCTGCTGCTGACTTCTGCTGCCCAGGCTGCACTGAACTTGATGGTGTCATTGATGGCAGATTTCCAAAATGCTGATGTTGCTGGTTGAAAGCTGGTTGGCTCTGAATCCCAGTTCCAGGCTGTCCCTGCTGGCCTAAATTTGGTAATTGTCCTTGTGGGTGAACATAGGGGACCTGACCTTGACCCTGCATGGTTCCAGCCTGCTGACCTTGCACTTGGACATTTCCAGATGGCTGACCTTGACCTTGCACATTTACAGACTGCTGGCCTTGAGCAAGCCCAATTTGTTGCTGACCAGCCACCATATATGCATTTCCTCCTTGCTGAGGGCCAGACGGCTGTTGCTTTTGGCTTTGCAGATTAGCTGTTGGTTGACCAAACCCCTGTGGATACCCAGGTTGTGGTCCTTGGGAATAGACAGCTGGCTGACTGGCAGAACCAGTTCTTTGAGACTGTGGACTGTAAGGTACTCCTTGCCCCTGACGATAGGTCTGAGATGTTTGCGTTTGATTTATCTGGGAGGCATGCTGTTGCTGCCAGGATTGGTGATATTGGCCCAGTTGTTGACCTTGCTGGAGGTTTGGCTGCTGTTGCTGCTGCTGCCATGGTGTTTGATACTGTTGCTGTGTTTGTTGTCCCTGTTGTTGTGATTGTCTAAACTGTTGTTGATTTACTATTCCTGTGGCAGCATTCTGTGTGCTAGGGAGAGACCCCACCTGGGCGTAATATGGCATGCTGTTAGAGGTAGAAACTGCCAATGTGGTGGTAGACTGTGTATGGCTGGTCTGTGAGTAAGACGAAGGATATGACTGATACTGGGACACTGTCCCTGGTTGTTGGGGCTGGAACTGTGGTCCAGCCTTCTGACCACCTGTATATCCACCTGGCTGACCAGTCATCTGTCCACTAGGAACACCCTGATACACACCTGGTTGGCTGAACTGCTGTCCAGATTGGGTGCCACTCTGATTCACACCCTTCAGGGTTGGAGCAGTGGAACTTTGTGTATTTTGTCCCATGTACTGGGTGGCTTGTCCATGTTGTGCTACAGAGCTATAAGCACTCATCTGTGGTAATGAACCAGAAACGGGTGCTCCTTGCTGATCTCCAGACACCTGCTGGTTTCCAGAAATAGGCTGGTTTCCAGGAATGTGACCCACGTTACTTTGTTGGGGACTTTGATTTATGCTTGATGCTGGATAATTTCCTTGGTATCCAACAAATGAAGAACTAGAAACGGCAGCAGTTGGAAGTTGATTCTGCCCAGTCTGAGATGCCTGATACCCAGTGGATGTTTGAAATGTTGATTGTTTAGGAGGCTGATGTTGGCTCTGTGGGACAGGGTAACTAAACTGCTCTTGGGGATAGGAGGAACTCTTGTGTGGAGATTGGTACCTTGGCTGTCCATGCTGGGACAGGTGGTGTGTCTGGGAACCAGAATAAGGGGTCTGGCCATGTTGCACTGCAGGGTAACTTCCATAACCCTGTGAGCCTGAGTAAGCTGATGCTTGCCCGGCATGTGGTGCAGGGTAAGACGGTTGCCCCTGTGACACAGAGTGAGAGGGCTGCCCCTGCTGTGTGGGATAAAAAGTCTGCCCCTGGGGCACAGGGTACCCAGTCTGGTCTTGCTTTGTTGGATATGACAGCTGCCCCTGCTGAGAAGGCTTAGCACCACCTGAAGCCTGTATTTGATTTGTTCCAGTTGGGACATTTTGAGGAGCATTTCCACCCTGTCCAGCATGAGGTGGCTGCTGACTGGTTGTTGGCTGCTGGTAGCCAGAGGAAACTGAACTAGGAGGCTGTTGTTGTTGTTGTTGTATATGTGGACCTAACTGGGCACCTTGTGGATAATAACCTTGATGTACAGACCCTGGCTGTGGTCTCCAGTCCTGAGGGTTTGGCTGTACTTGTTGCTGCTGAAAATGATAGTCACCTGTATTTCTTGGCTGAGGATACATGCTGGGATAAGGAGGCTGGCTCTGGTTCTGCTCTCCACCAGGTGTTGCTATGGGAGTATTCAGTGTGTCCACAGTCTGTGAGGGACTTGGTCTAGGGTGTGCTATCCTTCCTGCCCCACTGTACTGGTCAATGGCAGATGATGGTGTTACCGAAGAAGTAGAAGTCTGACTGTACTGTACATTTTGTTGCTGTTGAGTCATGTATGAAGCACATGTTCCTGTGGGTAGCAACTCAGCACCATCCCCTTCTTCACGCTCCTTGGTAGGTGGAACAATCACATCTTCTTTCTTCATATAAGAAAGTCCCCCATCTTGGACAGACCCGACGCCACCTGGTGGTAATGCCTGTGGTGGCACTGGAGAGGTGTATCTATTATCCAGGTGTGACGTCATGCCATAAATGTTGTTGTTGGGCATGGAATGAGGAGCTGACTGTGAGGAGTAAGGAACGTTACCCTGGGGCTGGTACCCACCTGGGTACCTCTGGTCCTGTCCCTGTTGCTGTGCACCATGCCTGGGAGAGGCAGGGTGACTGGCTGGGTGTGACGGGAGATGTGTAGGGGATGCTGTCTGGCTGGGGGGCAGGGATCCCCCGCCACCCCCCTGAACTCCATACATATTAGTCCCTGGCTGTCTGACACCCCCCTGTGGACCTCCATCCCTCCTGCCAAATATTTCAGGCTTCATATGAGGGAGGTAGTCTTTCAGTTTTGGCCCATCTGATGAAACAGGGTTCCTATTCATGTCAGGCTGCATATTAGGTAAATAGTCTTTCAACTTGGGTCCTTCAATATTAGTGGGGATATCATTATCCTTCAAGTGACCAAAAGTGTTTGGTTTCATATATGGCAAGAAGTCCTTGAGTGTTGGGCCCTCAATGACTGCTGGCAGAGCTGGGGGATTATCATCATCTTTAAGGTGACTAAATGTCTCTGGTTTCATGTAAGGTAAGAAGTCCTTTAGTTTGGGTCCAGGAAAGACATCTGTTGAAGAGGTGGTTGAGGAAACACCTGGTTTTGGAGCACTAGGTCTCTCTGGGGGTGGAGCTGTAAAAGATTACAATAAGAAGTTTTTAGGGACTGGTTTTATGATAACTCAAAAAGCCATGACCATGAGGGTTAAAACTGTGCTTTTGGTTTATCTAAATTACAAAATAAACATGAATTAATCACATGACTGAATAGCTAATTATTTTTGATTAACTATTTCAAAAAAAATATATATTTTGATATAACTTACATACTTTATTTATATACATTATTCATATGTTTTTACTAAATATCTACAAAATATAGTTGAAATCTACATCTATGGAACCCTTATGAACTTACCCTTTGGTTTGTGTCTGTTGGAAATCTGTTGCCTCTCATCCTCCAGTACTTTACACACACCCTTCACCCTGTCCAGCAGTCGGCTCACATTACCATCGTGTTTCTTGTAGAAGTCAATGCCTTTCTGAGACTTAGCTAATAGATCCTCATACACATCATAGGACTGTATTAGACCCTGTATTGTGGCATCACGTCTGAAATAGAGAGAGAGTCTGATATGGTATTGCTGATCAAGTTTTGGCTGTTAATGTAACTGGTTCATGCATATCAGCTTCAGTGGATTCCATTTAAACCATCAACAGGTTTATCTATTCAACTTAAAAGAATATGTGTTAATGGTAATTAGGTGCTAAGCAGGGGCTGCACAGAAGCTATCTTCTGGGTCTTCCAGAAGATGGTCAGAATTTTAGTTTACATTGACAGGCATCTAATTTTTTCTGTTGGAAGACAGTCAAAGCTGGAGGATGGATCAACAAAGATAATTTGGAAGACTCTCAGAAAATATTTCTGGATCTGCCACTGTTAAGAATATCATACCTAAGATATAATCTCCCCACTTACCTGTGCTGTATATCCCCCATGGCTTTCCTGACAGGGGCATACCTGGCATTGGCATCAGTCAAGGCTCTAAGGATGTTGGTCTGGGCATTCATGTTCTGCTGTATCAGGCTGATCAGTTTGTCATGCTTCTTCAGCTCATCTTTAAAGTAGGTCTTTGAAAATATTAAAAAAATATGGAAATGATTAATCCATTAATCAAGCTCTCCAGTTCAATCTCTTCAGCATGTCTGTGAAAAAAAAAAAGAATTCAAACACACATTCACGTTTTCATGTTTATCAACAATTTTAATCAAACATCTAACAATATTATCTCCCTAATCCATCCATAAACCCTACCTCCATACCCCTGTCTTCTTGAGTGACTATTCTACTTGTGATATCATCCTCATGAACTTGTTTTCTAAACTGCTCCTCCAGCTGCTGTCTCTGGGTCTTCATCTCCTCCACCTTCCCCATTAGTCTCTCCATCTCACCCATCACCTCCTCCTGCTCTGGGGCTAATAGGGGACAAGATATCTAAGTTAATAGCTTTAATACTAATAACATAACATACAAGTACTAATATCATATTATCTTGTCATTTTTGGCTCATGTAATGTACATCATAGTTGAACTTCTGTCCAAGCATTTGTTGCAAAGTAGGAAATGAATCTGTTGAATTTTAGTCCTTGATTTGATTGGAATGAAATGCTTTAAAAGTGTGAGCTTCTACTCAGATATTAGTTGAAAGATTACATCGGTTCATCATGCAAATGAAAAGGTCTCCTTTAGAGACAAACTTTTAAACCCTATGAGAGTTGAAGCATAGAAAACATACATTTCATGGAGAAGCAATTCTTTCTTCACAAAACATGCATCTTATATAATAATGCCATCCTTTAGCTTACTGGCTTAAGCCTTAAGAATCTACTGGTTAAAACATCAAGACAGTGACCAGTAAACATTAAATTCTACTGGCCTGGCAAGTTTTACTGTCATTTGATGTGGGGCCAGCATTCATATTGCAAACAATATACACTTATTCCTATACATTCCATGGGTATATACGCACCTAAAGAAGCTTTAATAGAGGGGATGGATGCCTTCAACTCCTCAATGGGCCCAGCAAGCAGCCTTAGATTGGCTATATGAGTATTCATGGCTTTGTGCAGCTCTGAGTTAGACTGGCCAGCCTTACTAATGGCTTCCTGGTATTTGGACTTTTCTTTGCTCAGTTCACTGACAATAATGTTTGGAGACCTCTTTCCAAATTGTGCCTGCAATGATATGATTTGTACTAGAGTGTTTCAAAACTTTTTGTGAGATTAAGCAAAAAAAAAAAAAAACTTAACTTCATCAAAAGATCATAATAAAACAGCTACCTTTCACAGAAATGTTAACTGTGTGTTGACAGAAAATATTGCCTTACCCTTATCAAATTTTAAATTAGGCTAGACAATGTAAAGTTAATTACAAAGACAGATGACGTGAGAGTTAGCAATTTTCACCAATAAAAACACAATAATTTACCTGAAACTCCTCCTCTTTGACTTTATCATTTTCTAAAATTTCATGCATCTCTTTTAAGTTCGACTCCACCTCAATGGCAATATTTGATAGTTCTAAAAATTATAAAGAAGAAAATATCCAATATTTACCACTAAAGACAAATATAAAATCTGAAAAATATGTTACTAAAATTAAACAATCACAGGCTTCATAAGGGCAAATGATGTTAAAATCTGCAACATTCAGCTAATCAACAAGTGTCATTAACCAGCAATTATTATTGCAGAATAACTTATCTCATTAGCAGTGAGTTCTTAGACTATTGCATCAGGTTTTCATATATCAACTCAGTCTGTACAAACTTATTATTACCCTGCATGGCAGCTATAAGATCCTTGATAGCAGTGGGTCTCACACTGATGGCAGCACACTTCTGCATCAGGACTTCTGGTAAACTCTCAGACTCTGGTCTTAACTTGCTTGGGTCGATTGATAGCGATGATAAGTACTGACTGAAAAGAGACAGAACAATATTGAATAGGACAATATTGATTCCGTTATCAATTTACTTCACTCTGCTAATTTTACGAGAAGAAAGAAGAATTTTTCATAAACAAATTTAAATTGTCATTTCAATAAAATGTTTTAGCTGATTCTGAAACAGATGAATCAAAGGAACAGAATCAACTGTATTACATAATACTTTATAAGTATAATCACAAAAATATGATCTATCCTACTTCAGCTCTTGTGCAAAAATACTGACCTTAGTTCCTGGTTTTTCTCATCTACTTCCCCACATACACGGCGAATAAGACTAGCTTTTTCTTCACTGGATTTAAAAACATAAAATGAACATTTTTAAATGAGATTCAAAACATGATATAGCAATTCCAAGTCATGTGAAATGATACAGAGCAACAAAACTGTTCCCTTTATTAAAAAAAAAAAAAAACAGAATAAGTCTTATGCCAAACACTTAGAACCATCTAAATGTGCTCTGACTATAAATTAATTAGGCACAAACCCTCACCTGTACAGTGAGGCTGCCTCATGGGCCTCCATGGGGACCAACTTGGCAAAAATATCTGGCCCTGACACCTCTGGGTCCATGGGGTTGAAAGGGACACCCTTTACTAGAGATGCACCTGAAAAACAGGGGGTATTTTAAACAAACATTTCTTAGATCACAATAAGTTGCACCCTGTCCATAATTTAATCATGTTGCATGGCCAATCTTGATTGGTCTTTAAAATTATTTTGAGATTGTTTCATGAACTTATAAAACACTTCTATATATCTCAAAACTATATCATTCATATTCTCTTGAATGGATTGTTATCATTACGTTTTAGTTAAAATGGTCTGACTTTACCTTTAACTTCTGGCAATGTTGCTAGATCAGGAACTTTTTCATGATACACAAAATCATTGTCCTTTTTGGCTGCATTGTGCCTAAGAGAAAAAAAAAAGATAGCAAGTAGTCGCTTGAGAAAATGACATTTAGCAGACTTCTTGAATTTGTAAACTTATTTTGAACTCCTTATATGTACATTCAGTAAATACAATTATGCTTTGAAAAAATATATTAAAACTGCATCCTGTATCCACTTACTTTCCTCCAACTACATCCATAGTAAAGCGGAGGGTGTCCTGGACATCTTCATCATCACTCTAAATTGAGGAAAAATGTCTTAAAATTACTTCTCTCATAAACTTAAAAAATATTCCAGTCAAAATCTGCAAAATCTTATTATTTAATAATAAAGCAATAAGTAAGGTTGACAATTTTCAAATTTGGACTGCATTTTCATTTCAATATTTTACTTTTATTTTTGATTCACAAGCCAAATGAGTTTTGATCTTTATAAAAAGCTGGTTACATTCTTATAAAACAAAGCTTTACTTTACCTTGGCCAATTTCATGCACTCGTTAAGTTTCCCCAAAGCACCTTGTAGATATGACAGTCTCTCCCCCCATTTTTGCTGCTCCTCTGCTTGGTTGCCCAAATATAAGTACATCACACTCTGATAGAAAAAACTCTTCATCTCTATTCTTCTTTTTAAATCCTGAAATGATTAACTTATAAATATTAAAAAGACACTAAAAAGTAATTTTAGATTTGTTTATGTGAAGCTACAATAAACTGTGAAATGTGAAACTAAACTTATTAGGTTCACTAAAAGCTTTAGGTTTCCATAGAGGGGGGCTTTTTATTTCTCAACTAAAAATTTACTGACATACTGGTACTGAAATATCATGTAACCCATATCATACTTCAGGGTTTTCTACAGGCACTATATAATTTTGTACATTTCACATGTTCACAGCAACACAGCATCTTTTAATTTTCAAAATATTTCATGGAAAAATAATAGTTTCTTACACATTTTGAAATAAAATAAATCAAGAAAGATTAGCTACATAGTCTACCTAATTTATAATTGAAGTCTATATTATATTTCTTAATCCACCTACATCACATGCTATAGCCAACCCACTCTTTACCTCCCAGTCTACCAACTGTAGATGCCCCAGTCTACCTACTTTATATCTCCTTGTTCCATGAAGTGTAGAATCCTTGCTGTTTTCTAGATGCCTGAGTGCCTGCGAGTAGAACTCCACTATTTGTGCTGCCACCTTAGCTGTGATGGTACTCTTCCTGTTATCCACCATAGATTTTTCTAAGATGCATTCTTGTGCCTGGGCCTAGAAAATACAGTTAAAATTAAGTCTGTGACAAGAACCTCTTGGTCCTTTTACCCTTATCAGCATAAAGTTGACTTGAAATAACTATTATCTTGTCAGAATAAAGTTAACCTGAAATAACAATTAGCTATGTGGCACTTACCAGCATAAGGTTAACTTGGAATGTCAGTAAATCATGGGTCATATCTGCTGTGAGAACAGCTCCATAATGATCACGGAGATGCTGAAAGGACCATGCGGCACACTGGAAATGTGTGCAGGAAATCTTCATACCCTGTAATGATTAACGAAATGCTGACTAGCAAAATTCAACTCTATGTAATTATGGTAAACTATATACTTATTTTACAAATGCAACAGCCCTTCATGTGACCTGACACTGTTTCTCATGTACCTCACAAACTGACTGCATGTAACAATTGTTTTCTACACAAATAATTCAATTGATCTTTAAAGGCTTACTTCAATTCAGACGACACTGCCCATATAATGATCTATTACTGTTCAGATTGTTAATGGGGCGGGAAGGGGGGATTCATTTTGAAACTCCCATTGCCATTGCTGAAAATTCTCTACGTCTTGAAATAATTCATACTATAAGCACCTTTTACATTTGAAATCCCCATTCCCCCCAAAAGATTAACAGAAATTATAATAAATAAAAAATTCTAATACATTTTTTAAAATCTGCCAATAAAATCATATGCCTGTATTTTACAGTATAGCATATATCTACTTTTTTCTTTTATACTATATACTATACCTCTGGTGACTGTCTGTTGTCTACAGAGCCCAGTATAGAGTGTAGTGACCCAATGTTGTACAGGATACAGGCCTGCTCAAATCTGATATCTGCCCTCACATCAGGCTGCCCAGTGTACACATCTTCCCTGTAGAACAAACAGCGAGAACATGTATTTTAAATGACCTTTTATATAGAATATTGAAATAAGTACGAAAATCCATTAATTTTACAGACATGGGGCTTTCATGTGGAATGTTTTTCAGTGAATTCATGTGGCAAAAATTATTTTCTTAATTTATAAATATAAATGACAAATGGTACCTAATTGGCTTTTCAATAAAGTAGTCATAAAATAACTTAAAACAGATAATAAAATAGACAGCATTGAACAGGGCTTCATGCAGAAAAAAAAAGAATTCAAAACACCAAGTCTTGCATAAAATATATCTAAATCACACAGCAAGAGCATTCAAACACTGCCTAGTATTTCATATTTTACGAGCTCTATGGCATGACCTACAGCAAGATATCTGTTTTAGCATTAAACCCAGCTACACTGCCTATGCTTTCTTTTGCCAAAAGGATTTTTCTGGCTAGCACTAGGTGATACAAAATGTCTCATGTCCCAGAGCTTACCCGATTAACTCCTGCCTTATTTCAGACAGCAGTATTGATTATTCTCATCTACACTACATATGAACTCTAATTGAAACAGTGGTACATTACCATATAAACTGTATACCCAACAGTGCTACTTTGCAAAATAAACCATTTGATATATATCAAACAGGGCTTTTCCAAGGATTGGGGGTACAGGCCGTCCAAAATTATCACTTGTCATTTCCTACAAAATTTCAGGGAGTCGAAGCCATCATTTTTCAGAAATATTCATAAGCTGTCCAGCTGTCTTTAAATATATATAGTCCAGTGATGCTGGCAGCCTTTGGCGTCTAAATGACAATTTGACAGTTTGCTGGGAAAAGCCTTGATATCAAGTAACATGGTTATATTACCATATGAAGGGCACTGCCCCTGCTGCCCCTTCCTCCATAGGAATTCTGTTATGTAGAAAACAGAGCTGAGAGTAGTACTTCTTCAGCAAGCTGCAGCCAGTGAAATCTCTGCTGACTCTGGTGGCATTCTGAAGTGAAAGTTCAGTCTGTCTTTTAACTCATTCTATAAAATTTATCTTTAAAATTATTTTCGGTCATTAAAATTTAAACACACGCACACACATGTATATGTGTGTGTATTTAAACATTCCTTCTGTGCTTTTTATGCCAAACTGGCTTCACAGAAACTCATCACTTAAATTACCATACAATAACAAATCAGTCAAATGCATGGTTTATCCTCCCTAATAATCTAATAGGTAATATTTAACTTGGCTGTAATTTCATCGCCTATTTACAGGGAGTAAAAAACAAAGGAAAAACTTCTTGCTGTTACCTGTCTGAGTTGATCTAGCTCTGAGCATTCCTTGTTATAGTTGGATGGGTTTTCTTGGTAGTGATCTCTAATATACTGAAATACAATATTTCCATTGCTATTAGACTTAACATGAAGCCAGTATGCAATCTAAAAAAAGACGACACGAATGACAGAATGACAATCTCCTTTCTTCTAAGATAAGAAGTATTTTAGTCACTCTAAAACATATTTTATTCTGGACAAATAACCCTTTACTGGATCAGAAGAAAAAATGATAAACACTTCACAAATATTGACAAGGTTCTATGACAGATACATATAGAGGGGCATCAGAAACAGAAATCAAATAACACAAATAGTACATTTGTAAGAATAAATGTCATAAGATAATTCATTTTATATCTTTTAAAATTATATTTTCTTTTTAACTGTCTCAGAAGATGTTAACCTTGTTTCTTTATAAACATGAGTTAAAAAAACATTATTCTTTATGCATCCCTATTGCTCAGTATCCCTCGATACATGTATATTCTGGTATATGTAGAATTATTCAATTTAAAAAGAAAAAGTAGTTTTTATAATCTTGGATGGATATCTGCAGGACTCCATACATTACTCTTATATATTTTATTCTTTATCACAACCCTGGGCAACTATAAATGTACCTCTGAGAAGGGATCTAAAAGCAGTTGGTGAGTCATCTTCATATGATTATAGCAATTACATGCAAATTGAATTTAGCATGTTTAATTTGATTGTTCTCGTTATAGTGCTCCAGCTATTTCATCTGATTAAATTAATGTCACACACAAAGTTTACTTTAACAGCACATGAGATTGACGTTATCTTTTAAGAATCAACGTTACTGAATTATTCAGGGGTTAATTAGTGAATCACCACCAAAACCACTAAATTATAATTAAATCAGTAAACAAATGATTCTAATAATGATGTTAACATGTCATTATGTAGTCTGTGTAGTTTTGCAGGAAATCTATTTAATGCGTTGATCTTTTTGTTATATATAAAATGTGTGTATGAAATCAAGACAATCGAAAATTCTTCAACTTCAAGAAGTATCATCATAATAATATAATGTGAATGATTATAGCTAAGATCAAATCAGCACCGCATTCAGAAGGTAATCGTGCTAAAGGCAAAGCAATATTTGCAAAGGATCCACCTGTCCCCTGTATCATAGCTTTAGGCAAAGAGTCTGGAGATATGAGTCTAGATAGATGAGTATCGCTGTGTCAGATAACTTCATGCTTGTCACTTATATTTTGCGTATGTCGGCTTCTATATACACACTAAAACAGCAGTTCCTTCAAGGTCACGTCACATGTTCATCTTACATATATAAGAAAAAATATACCTTCTTTATTTCTGGTCCTAATTCCACCGGCTCTGCGCAATTTTTCAGCTCAAAGGAAATCATCGGAACTCTGGGGACACCCTCCATCTTTGCGAAATGACGTCAGCAGTCTCTTTGTGAAACTGGGTCATTGGGGTAACAGAACTGTTGCCTGACCTCAGGAGGCCCAGGAGAGGTTGGGGAGGTAAAGGCGTTCATGTATTATGGCGTTTTCTCTAGCCTGGGACTGAAAGAATTTAAGATGCCTTGACATTCATCAACACATGGTCCAGAGTTCGACATACCTCCCTCATGGCCTATCAAGATATTGTCCCGTACACTTGTATTTACATCGGTAAGTTTGTATCCACGCTCGGCTGTCACCTTGGTTGGATAGTAAACTATTGTCGTAAAATCGCTAAATGGTATTAAAACCGGGTGCATAAACTTGAAAACCACCTAGGACAACCTTGGACTGCCACATTAGACCAATACAATGCAAAAATAAACTATAACAAGTGGTTAAAGCCTTCAAACCGAATGTCGTAAAGTCCCCATATACCTCCATAGAGACAATAAAATAGAGTAAGCTTGTGAAACAAGATTCCACAATTTTAAACATAATAATCGAAATAAAATACTGCCGGGCATCGGGGCGGCCTAAAACTTGGCACGCTTACCGCAAATGCAGCAGGCTACATCATCCCATCGCTCGTTTGTAAATTCCGTGCATGGCATACGCACAATCAAACCGACTCAAGCATCAGAGGTGGAATTTGGATTTACGGTTTGATTTTAATAAATGTATAACATGCAAACGCCATATTGTTTTTTTGCTATTTTTAATTTGCAGTTATAACGCAAATACTTATAATAAGGTAAATGAATAATATAAAATGTAACAATGACAGATCTATTCTGTCTAGGTTTTTTTT